AATTTTATTACTAGTCTTTTCTTCTTCATGATGTGTAATGTCCAACTAACTGGAATATTCTGTTGTTCACTTCGTGCAAGCCCTCCATTATAGTTTAATCTTGCACCTTTGCTCTGGTGTCCTGCTTCGACTGGATGCACTAACCCAATGGGCACTGCAGGAGGAAAAGTTGCCCTCCCTCCATTGCATATTCCCTCCCTTGACATCCTTGTGTCTGAGAAAAAGGGCTTCCAAGGTTCTATCAGTTGGGGGTTGTGTTTTCAAGAGGATGGTGGAAGAGGAGTGCCAAAGTGAAAAGTGAGGGAGCAGGCCTGTGATTCGGCAAGTGTTTGAGAAAGAGCTAGTGGGAAAGGGCGGGGGGGATGGATGTTTAGGAGGGCTGGGGGTGTCAAGAGAGGCCAGAAGCAAGACCCGGACCTGGGTGTTAAAATTTAATGGTGTGAGTAGGAAGGAAGGGAGGAATAGGTGATGTTGAGTTGGTGGGTGAAGAGAGGAGCACATCAACAGGACCCCTCGTGTGGAAGAGAAGCAAGACCCAGACCTGGGTGTTAAAATCGCATAGTGCGAGTGGAAAGAAGGGAGGAAGAGGTGACGTTGAGTTGGTGGGTAAGGAGAGGAGCACATCAACTGGACCCCTCGTGTGGAAAGTGGCGACACCATGGAAACGCAGAATGGCGGTGGGATCCAGCAATCAATTGCCAAGTCCCATACCTGAGATGATTACCAGTTGGAGGACCACCGCAACACTAGGCCTTTAGAGAAACCAGGCATATCTTAAAAGGGAGGAAGAGAGGAGAGGGCATTGACGATCTTTAAAGGGAGGAAGAGAGGAGAGGGCCGCACGATCTGTAAAGGTATCGGGATTGCACTGGCCGATGATGATGTGGATTGCCTCGGTGACAAAGTCCACCGGTACTGATAAGCATATGCATGTCATGGCAAAGAAAGCAACTCGATGATAACACATGCAAGTAGAACGCCCAAGGGAAAGGTTGGACAGTGAAGGGGATAAGGGGAATGCATGGGGTGGAGGTGCTTTGGGAGTGTTGGATTTATGTGGAGAGGCTGTTTGCAACTTTGGAAGTGTGGGCAGGAGGAGGGTACCATCTCCATCGCGTGTACCGTATCCGCTGATGCAGATGAGGTGGAAGGATGTGAGCCGACCGTTAGAGTACCCCGACTGAGCGCAAGGATTTGATTGTTGTATGGTGGTGTACGTAGTGGGAAGGATGGCGGGTTGCCGCCACTCTCCTTGGTCGCATTTGCCCTTCTGCAGAAGCTGTGATGCGCGCTTCTTGAAGGACCGACTGTGGCAGAGGCTGGTGCGGACTCTAGAATAAGGGGTCCTGTGGAAGTGGTCTTCTTTGACTGTGCTGTAAGGGGTCGTTGTGTGGTTGCACCTGTCTTGCATATCCGCTTGTCGAGTGAGTCTGCAGAATGAATCCGCGGGAGTGTGACAGGCGTCTGCTACAGTCGGAAATGGCAGGGTGGTAGATGTGTGTGGTGGAGGTGTTTGATGGGAATCCGAATGTGCTATACAAGGTAAACTCCATCCTGCTCGGCGTAGCAGGGCATGTCCTGGCAAATGTTCCAGTAGACCAGAGTATATGCACATGAAAGGACATGCAGGGGATGGGGAAGTCGAGAAGGTATATAGTTGGTTGGGCTGAGGATGTGGAATACTGTGGCAAGGCCACAAGAAGCGCGATCGATCTGGGGAGGTGCACCAGCGGTCTGGACTTGGACAAGGTTCGGTCAAGAAGGCTGTGGCAGCACCTGTGCCGATCACTGTGTCGTTAACATCATTTGGTGATGGTAAATGGCCCTTCCCTCGAACCAAACCACTTCTCTGCTTCCGCTTTGCCAAGTCTGCAAGTCGAACAGAGTTTGCTTTTGTTTGAGCACGGTCTCATCCCTATTATTATTTCATTAATCGTATTATTATTATTTGATCCCTGTTTCCCAGGAGGGAAGATTTGTATTCAATATGTAAACTGAGCGGACAACTCGTCATCTGCAACATAAATGTATGTATTCCAGACTGCCTTTTGCAAGCTTCTGTCCACCACAATATATATATGTGACACGATATATATATGTGACAATATATATATATATATATATAGGCATACACATGCCATCCACCCACGCGGAATAGCCACGCACACATGTCCGCACAAGAGTCTGGAGGTTCCTCAAAAAAAAAACACAGGTGCCGAACTCTTATGTATGCATTTGAAATTCACTGACACCGTCATGGATGTCTCACAGCGCATACGATTGCTTTTTATGAACTGAAAGGTGCCACTGCGAACCGACAGCTGGTGCAGGCTTATGCTACATGGGGAGTTTAGCAACATCCCAGGAATGACAGCAGCAAATGCAATATAAACAGTGTGCCGGTGTAGAGCTGCAAGCCGTGTCAGGTTCCGTTGACAAGGAGTTGGTCTTTCCACCTGTTTCCTCGGGAGTTTGTTGCGGGCAGGTTGTGTTTTAGTTTTACCCACTGCAGAAGAGTGGCAGTTACATCTCGCTGGTCTTCGAAACTACTCCCCAATATCTGTCTAGTATTTACGAGCAGTGCAGCTCTTGGGACATGTAGTTTAGGCATGGTGCTATGGTTGAAGGTCTAGCTGGTCGACTCTCTTGACCAGGCGACCAGTGAGCTTTATGACTACTCTGTTCTGCCTTCTACCACACGAATTGTCGATATGTAAGCTGTGTTACCTGATATACTGCCCAAACACATTGTCGACCTGTAAGCTATGCTCACATGATAAATCCTCGTGTATTAGGATGTAATACGGCGTCTGCACCTAGTGTATTTTAAGATTTGTGCAGCAGTGCGGCTTGACGACTACTGACCGAGGGCCCATTTCTTCATGGTGATGATATGCCGGACAATGTGGTTGCGATGTGATTGACTGATGGTGGTAATCCTGTCGGGTCTGTGGCTATATCTGAATCGTCTCTGGTTCGGGGTGGTTGTCTGGGAGTTTTCCCCACCATGTGATCGACTTCTCTTCCCCGCTGCGGAAAAGTTGTCCAGATATCTTGTGTTAGCATGCAAGGAGCAGCGGGCTTCGACTTCCAAGTCTATTCTGCCATTAGTTCTGGTCTGTTGCAGCTGCTGATTACGAATCGTAAGAAGTTCTCAGACATTCCACTGTATGTGGTTATCTGAATGAATTGCGGTAAATAGGGGGTCGTGTTTACGGCAGCAACTTTACGCCAAGGATGGTGTCCTTACGCAGTTTGTGTGGTACTGCGGGACAGGTCTGCACCTGTAGTGCTCTCCAATTGTTCTGGCACCCATTCCCAGCCGCGGCTTGTGCGGGTGGGTTCGTGTCCGGTCCCATCAATCGTAAGGTATCCGAACGACTGGCTGGTCACATTCTCGTTGCCTATGGTTTCCTTGTTGGTTGGGTGGGTATGCCGCAGGCTAGTGTGAACGCACGTGAGGTATGCAGTGGTTACCTAACATTGTGATGTGATTAGTGGGCTCTTTCCTCTCTTCTCTATGCGTACTATGCCAGCTGCCAGCTGACTGTAATAAGACCAGCTCCACAGCTGGATGAATGCTTGGTCTTTGTTCATTGCACGAATCTGAGGATTTTGCTTTGCATGGACGGGAATGATCTATGGTTCCTTATCACTTGTTTGCGTCATCTGCACGGTTTATTAGGAATTTGGTCTGGTATCGGTTCTTTTGCCTTTGTGAATGTTATCACTCCTTTGCTATTTTGTGAATCTTATCAATCCTGTGGCCATTAGGAATATGAATCTCTGCAGTTGTCAATCGGATGCGAAATATGGCCTCCTGCCTAGCAGGGAATTCAGGAGGCGTAAGCACTTATCTAGTGAGGGCTTTGTCATCGACTCCAACTGGGGCTCCTTCCCCCCCCYCCCCCCCCCCCCTGAAAGCTGGGTAGGGAAGGAACAGTTGATTCATCATGCGCTTTTTGAGAAGGATGACGATCTCAATTAACAACTATTTCTCTTCAACGTTGCTGTTCGTGCTTGATTGCTTGTTACACAGTGTCCTGTCCGAACCCGCCGTCTATCAGGGCGGAATGGTGGGTCTGGTAGTGGGAGCGGCAGTGGACACCATCGCGGAGAAGAAGCAAGACGTCTGTCTTCAAAAGCTAGCGGCGGAGGGAGAGATGAGCACAGTAGCCAAAAAGGAGAGGAGGCGAAGCTCAACAATGAGCTTGAAGATTATATGAAGAGCAAACCTCCCAAGGAACATGATGCTCAGAATGACAACGTTGATGAGGATGTTCCACCAGAGCGGGAGATCGATATGCTTCCAGATCTTGCTGAACAGGACACCCGTATGGCAGAGGATGCAATCGATCTGCCTGAAGAGACTGTTGGGGCTGTAGAAGTAGAGCCGGAAAGAAATTTGTCTATCGAGGGGTCGCCTGCAATGGCTGCGTCGCCTGGATTGCTTGTATCCCCTGCATCCCCAGGATCCCCCGCATCCCCAGGATCCCCGGCATCCCTTGCATCTCCTGCATCCCCCACCTCACCCACCTCACCCACATCACCTGTGTCTCCATCTCCAGTATCTCCGACATCTCCGGCATCACCAGCATCGCCAGCAGCACCAGGTTCACCAGCATCACCAGCATTACGGACAATGCCAGCATCCCCTGCATCCCCCGGCTCCCCTGGCTCCCCTCCATCTCGTTCTGCCCCCGCGTCCCCTCGTTCTCCTGCGTCACCGGCATGTCGTGCATCTTCTGGGTCTCCTGCAACCCCTATGTCTCCCGCGTCACATGTGTCCCCTATGCACCATGCATCCCCGTCATCTCCTCAGTCCCCTGCGTCCCCTCTGTCGCCTGCATCTCCTCGCTCGCCTGCACCACCTGCATCGCCTGCACTACCTTCCTTGCAGGAGGAGAAGCAAGACATTCAAATGGCAGATTGAAGTGGTGTGTTCTTAAGGCCCACATTTTGGCAAGCCGGCGCCTTTTTGTTTCTCGTATGTCTGCATGATGGTGAGTCTGCTTTTCGTCTCTTACCCCTACCATTGCATGTGTGTCCAGGGTTGCAATGTCCTTGTTTTTCGCCGCTAAGTGCCACATGGTCAGTGGTCCGAATCCCTTGTCGCTCCACCCGTCTCGTTCCCTACCGGTCACTGGTGGGGTGGCTCTTCTGTGTTCTTTTGAGGTGCCGTGCCTGATGGGCCTTTAGCAGGTTGATGACATGCAGTAGGGAAGTAGGCATTGGTCTTGTGCAAGGCGCTTCAAAAGTTTTTGCAGTCTTCTGCCTGATTTCCAACAGTGGCAAGCATACATGGCATAGAGTGGGGATGTATGCTATCTTGTGGTTGAGTCTCTTCAGGGAGTGGGCATGCGTGGAGAGCAGTGTCTTGGGCAGACTGTGCGATGGAATCGCGGATCATATTCGTTGTGTCCTCTTAGTTTGCCCAACTGCTTGCCGTGTACTTCCAGCAATATGCAAGGCAGGACATTCTTCTGTTTTGCTGCTTTGAGCTCAGTCAGAGCCTGTCAAACTCTTCTTTCGCCAGGAGCGCACAAGGCCAATATAGCAGCCAGGGAATTTGGTGATCTGTTTTGTTGTCTACAAGGGGGCACAACTGGAAAGTGTATTTTGTGGGAGGTGGTTTCATTTTTCATCAGCTTATTGGGAAGGCGTATGTTTATTGATGTGCAAACAGACAGACTGGGGGACGTAGATTGGCAGAAGAGAGAGCTTGTATTACGGAATGTTGTCTGGGATATGAGTGCCAATTGGAACTTACGCCGTTTGGCTTCGCAGCGTTCTTTCAAATCAAGGTTCTGTGTGTGCATACCGCCACGGTATTGCAGCGTGCATATTGTTGCTCGCCATGTACTCCAAAGCAGAATGAAAGAACCGAAAGAAAACGAGCCAAGGTGTGGATGCTGGGGAAGATGGCACTGACGACAAGGACATTAGTTAGTGTTGGGAAGCTTAAGCTGTATCGCGGGGCTCTGATGTTGATGTGAAGAAAGTGCATGTGAGGTACGTTACATAGGAGTTCAGTTCAACTGGTGGTCATACTTACGGGAGGCGGGCGAGGTACGTTACATAGGCGTTCAGTTCACCTGGTGGTCATACTTACGGGAGGCGGGCGGGGACGTTGGCTTAAGCCAAGAACTTTGTTTTGTTCATATTGGAGCACTGCGATTGTGCATCCGTGTCAAGGATTGGATGCTGTGAGACGACGCCTCCTCTGATCTGCTGTGGGTGCTGTCTGGCCTTTTGCTCTCAGGAAACTTTTGTTTGTGGTAGGGGCGTGGGCCGACGAGAGAGGGTTGACGGAGGGCTGACAATCTGCTGTTTTCGCCGGCAATTTGGGTGCAAAATTCAGCGAAATTTTTAAAAACAAATGAAATAAACTCAGGCCAAAAAGATGAACAAAAAAATAAAAAAACACCAAAAAATAGTCGTAATGAAATTTTGATAGCACCTAATATTGAGGAAACACCCGATAAATGAAGACTGAAAATCGCTAAATCCACATACCGCTTAAAGGTGGGTAGACCTTCCACCCGGTACCAGCACCTACTTCCACTAAAGCAGAACTTAGAAGAAGTAATAATGATGGTGGTAATAACCTAAAACTGATTTTGTTTAATCGTTGAAATGAAGCGTCTAACGAATTCAACGAGATGCCATCTGTTTTATTATTGATCCAAACATGTAAAAACTGGGCATGTGGCATACCCTAAAGCACATACATAGCGCTCGAAAAGAAAAACAGCAAAAAAAAAAAGCAAAAAATCAGCAGTTTCGGTGCAAATTTTGCGGAAATTAACACCCCTGGTTAATCACCTGTGGTGCCAGCAGGTTTACTTTTCGGGATTTCGTTTTGTGAAGAGTTTTTCCAAACTTTGGTGTTCGGGTTGGCATTGGATTTATGTGTCTGTTGGTAAGTGGGTGGGTGGGTGGGCCGGTTGTGGTTAGTCGGTCGGGTTGGTTCAATGGGTGGGTTGGTTCGCTGAATGGCTGCATTGGCCGAGTACCTATCGTTGGTCACAACATCTTTCGAAGTATGCGGTGGCAACCTTACGGCTCGAAGAGCAGACACTTTCCCTCTGAATCCCACCAAGGCGCGAAAGCGCATAAGAATTTGACCGTCTTTGCGGATACCGCTAAATGCATCAAAAGACTTCAAAACATCGGTCGGATGGCTCATTTACCTATGTGGGTGATTCTTCCGAGTGTTTTTACTGATCTTGCTGGGTGATTCTTCAAATTAGCTTCACTGATCTTGCTGAGAATCGTCGCCGAAGAACATGCCTCCGAGATTTGAGTTTGAGGTGAGGGATCCCTGATACCTCCAAGATTTGCGTAATACGTGATGAATCCCTGAAGCTCCTTAAACGGAGGAGCGAACACAATAATAATCTTACTTCTATTGTTAGTATTGTTACCTTATTTTTCCGTATAAAAGTTTCTGGATTTCCATCTGAAATAGACTTTCTGGGGAGTTTTATTTATTTAGAGTCCACAGGAAGTTGTATTTGAGAGTTCTTGGGGAAAAGAATGAAAAGATCATAAAATAGGTGTTATCCGGCAGTGTAACGTGGGCGAATTTGTGAGATCTCGTCTGGGATTTCGGGGTTGTCTCGAAATTTGAAAGCCAGTGTCGTGAGTAAAGGAATAAAAACAGGCGATGGGTTCCTAAAGCCTTAAGCCAGGGTTTGAGGAGCCCTTATCATGCGAAGGCGTGTATCAACTTTTGCGATTTATTTTCAGGGAAACAAGGTGGCTGTTTAGTGAAATACAGCGGTCTTCTGGGAACCGCAAGTGGTGTACTTTGTCTGGTTTTTGGAAGCGTAAGTCGTGCCTTTTTCCCACCCGCAATTCGTGAATAACGCATGAACATTTCACGTCACGGCGCTTCTCTCCGGCTTACGCTGGAACAACCAGGTGCGGATGCCCTCCTGTCTTCCTCCTCAGACCCACCCTTGATTTTCTGTGAAACTTTCTTCTGATTAAAGTAGAATGTGCGCCTTGTTACACGTCCTCCTCCGTACGAGTCTTTGGTGGTCGTTTATATTGTCCTGTGGCTTCTTTCTCCATAATTTTGACTTCTCCCTGATCTCCATACGGTCTGTAGCTGGACTGAAAGTTGGGTGAAATGCGTCCATAATCACTCTATTTATGTGTAACATCCTAAGTGTAGGGGGGCCATGACAATCTTCTCTGTATCGTTCCTAGTTTAACGGATACCAGGAGGACACCGGCATGCTTAACTTGCGTTTTATTCTGGCGAAGGTGCTAGCTTTCCTCCGCGCGTGTTTTTTCGACCGGGCTCGTCTCCCTAGCCCCATTGCATGGTGTGTCTAGATGGGTGAGTATTCCCCGATAATCCAGAACGTGTTATTCTGGTGGTGCGTGTTTTTTCGACCGGGCTCGTCTCCTTAGCCCCATTGCATGGTGTGTCTAGATGGGTGAGTATTCCCCGATAGTCCAGGACGTGAACCTGAGAAGCGCAGACCAGAGATCTGGACTTCAGAAATGGGCCAGTTAGGGGAAAGTTGTTGCTATCACAAGCATGGTGTGGTTGGTGTGGAAAGTAAGCCCAGGTTAGTTAACGGAGTCCCGTAAGTTGCCTTTGTGCCACTTGGGCAGATCTTTCTGATATTTCTGCTGCTTCTGTTGAGCCAATTGTTTTCAGGCAAGGCCAGGCGGATTGTTGAACGATTTGACGCGGGCAAGTTTGCAGTGTCAAGGCCCACACTTGTAGTTTGTCATTCAAGGAATAGGTGGTGTATGGCCTTCTGTGGTCTGAAGCCTTCGGCGTTACGTGGTTTACAATTAGGAGGTCTTAGCATAACCAAGTTTAGCTATCATTTCCCTAGGAGGTCATAAGCTCATTAGTCCGCTAAGAGGTTGTGTGCACACCTGCATGTATTCACTAAGAGTCCTTGGAATGACGGTAAACACCTTGCCCATCATGGGTAGTAAACAGGTAATGAGTTGGAAGCAATCGAATTATCGCTTGCGTGAAAAATCCATGGAGCTGCTGCTCTTCTTTCTGCCTTTTCGCCTGGCCAGGATTCGAATTTGAAAATGTAGCATCACCAACCGATGTCGCTTAGTTTGTCTAGGCCCTATGATCATCCAGCGCACATAGTATGACCCAGCCTGCATCGTAGCACCCAGGACTTAGTTCCGTCACCTGAACGCTGAAAGCTACGTTCTGTGACTGGTGAACGGCCAATGACAGGCGGTCGTAGCTGTGAACGGTCGATCACGGCCACCGGGCAAGGCTGGATGCCGCTGCAGTGAGGAGGTGATGCACGCCCCCTTAGCCCCCCTTCCCCCCCCTCCCCCCTTGGCCCCCAATTGAAAACAGAAGGAAAAAAGAAGAAAATTATACGGCAGGAGCGGAGGTGGTGCATGGCCCCCTTAGCCCCCGATTGAAAGCACAAGGAAGACACAGAAAATTGGGTTCGAGCCCCCCGTTGACAAAAAAACAGCAGAAAGTCAATTGAATCAAGCAAGCAAGCAGTCAATCAATCAGCCAATCAGCCAATAAAGCAATCAATCAATCAGTGTCTGTGCGTGTGTCTGCAATCAGTGTCCGTGCGTGTGTCTGCGTGTTTGTGTGTGTGAGAGAGAGGCGAGAACAACTCTTTTGAACGTGTACCTGAACGGAACCGGCAGTTTGTATGCATTCTGAATTTTGGCCCAGATAACGGGCCACATTCATTACGGACGCTGTCTTCTGCACAGGTAGTGCAATTTTTTGTTTGGAAAAATTGTTGAAATGCCCCTGTAAGTTTGGGGTATTTTGCCAGTTACCGCCGAAAGGCATGTGTAAGGTGAAATGCGCCTATGGCAGTCGTGGAACTCTGGGAAACACCCGACTCTGCATTTGGACCTGCCATCTTTTGCATATACCCTTACCAGGCCCTGTGCAAGTTGTCCAAATGCCCCTGCATTGCTGGCCGTTGGACCCTCGTCAAAAAAAATTGCAAATGCCCCTACCGGTACCTGCCAATTTTTCTGTTTTCCTCTCTAGCCGTTGAAGGGCTGAGGCCGTAGGGGGTTGTGATCTGCAGGGAGTGTGTGTGTGTGTGTAGTGATCATGGTAACCGCGGACCCGGACACCGGACACCGGACTGTCTTCTGGACCAGTGTCTGGACCGGTCCTGACTGTCCGGCGATCCGGACATCACCGGACACCGGACAGTCCGGACCGGTCCCCGTGGTGCAAAAATGTCCGGACCCAAAAGAAAAAAAAAGAAAAAAAAAAACAAAAAAAAAAACAAAACGGGGGTCTGGGGGAGGTTGGGTGGGGGTGTTGGCAGGTACTTACCTGCTTTGCACTCTGTAGTTCAGGCAGCAGAGCACGTGTCTTGCAGCAAATCAACCAGCACATTTAACCAGCAGACATGCAGGGTTGCAAACTGTGCAAAGCAGGCACAAGACTAAGGAAACAGAGAATTAAAAAAGAAAAAGTATGATCAACTTTGAACTTTGAACTTTGGATTTAGTAATTTACCTTTGCAGTTCAATTCAGAACCTCAGAGTCTTCAGACTGGCAGCACTGTCAGTGCTCTCTCTCTCTCTCTCTCTCTCTCTCTCTCTCTCTCTCTCTCTCTCTCTCTCTCTCTCTCTCTCCGCCACCTCAAAAACCTGCGCGTCTTGTGTCTGGGCCTCTAGGCCATCTCCGGTGGGGTGGAAGGACACTTAAAAATCACCCCTTTATTTTTCGAGGGGCGGCTAGGACCTGACAAACGTCCTGGGATGCCCCATTGTTTTTTGTTTTTTTTTGCCCCAGTGGCCTCCATCCAGGCATGGGGACCAGACACCGGACACCGGACTGTCTGGAACCTGGTCCGGACGTCCGGGCTGTTACCATGGTAGTGATGTGTGTGTAAACACATATAACTCGTCTTCTGCAGTGAGTCAAGTCAACAGGCCATCCATGAAGTAGCCTTGGAGGTCCACTGCACATAGAAAAGGCAGGAAAGAAATACAAGACTGAAAGGCATACAAACGACACAAGGCAGTGAGGCGCGAAAGACAATGAAGCAAAGGACAGAGACCGGAGCATGGGGGAGGCGGGTGGGCAGACGAACAGCACAAAGGAGCAACCGAAAAAAGTAGCGAGCCACAAACAAGGCAAACAAGAAAAGAAAATGCAAGTCCCGAAAAGAACAAAACTGATGATGAAAGATTGTTTCCTCGAAGTTGCACCGACTCATCAGGAGGCTGAACCCTCGACAGTCTGCGGAATGCTCATATCGATGGTTTATTGATGGTTTGGGTCACGGATCCTTCCACCCTTGTTCAAGCTCCTCGAACGGAACACAGCAGTGGGCAGCAAGTTACGGCAACCCAGCTAAGTACCAGGTAACAGGGCTGCTCAGCACCAAAGACTAC